CTCAAGGCAGTGAGCATACCTAATACTCTTTCCTCCTATTTTTTTATTGGTAGGTAGCCCATTTAAAGTTCCTGTAAAAGATGTCATTGACCCCAGCAAGGTGAAAGTGGCAGGACCAGGTTTGGGGACAGCTGTGCGTGCCAGAATTCCTCAGGTCTTTACTGTGGATACTAGCAAAGCTGGAGTAGCACCACTTGAAGTTACAGTGGCAGGACCCAGAGGTAGGATGTTTCTCTCTATAACTTAGAATTAGTGTTTCTTTTAAATGAGAATGTATAGGTACTGCATACAGAAGTGCATGACCTCCATTTCAGTACTGAAACTTATAAAGAACTTATTTAAGAAATGGTTCCCAAATGGCGGTAAGTAAAAGTAGCACTGCATACATTTTTCTGCTTAGTGTTTGTAGAGCTGCAGAAAGTGAGAGACTACTATAATCAAGATAATCCTGACACACATAATATTTGGAAACCTTAAACTAGTTAAAAAAAAACCCAGACATTAATTAGGAATGTTTTAGCCTGAGCATTGGTTGAAGAGTTCAGAGTACATCTGAAGAATCTCTTACATTTAACTTGGTACTTTCCAGATGGGCTGATTGGAAATTCAAGGAGTTCCCATACATCTGTAGGGTACCAGACTGGGGAAGGCGGCTGAAACAAATCAATATGTGTTCTCGATAAATGTATATCAAAAGCATTACGGAAGAGTAGGTTGAATGGGCATTTCCCGAACTCTGCATACGCCCAAGAATGTACTGCTTTAAAAGGTTCTAAATTATAAGGATAAAAGAATATCTGCATGTTCTAGGCCAGTAAGAAATATAGAATATATTTCTGCCAGTTGAACTAGAAAAGAATCTATGCTTCCCTTCAATAATGTTTAAATTGTGCAAGGGGACTAAGAAGCTTGCATAACGATTCAACTTAATTTGTAGACACTGAAGAGTGTTGAAACAGTTTTCTCTTGAGTCAGACAGAAATAGAGTAGACCTCATTTCCTTTGAGTGGCCCTTGAGAAAAGCAAGTAAAAAGCAAAGAAAGAGCATAGAATTTGAAAACCCGATCACAAGGGGCATTACATGCATATACACAAACAGATGCACGCACACACATGCACCTATATACATAAACATACATCAAAGTAAGGATTAGGAAAAGAGGGTCGAAATTCATGAGAATATGGGTAACAGAAAGCAAACTTAATTCTAATAATACTGGATACTAACCATTGTTGCATGAATAAGTGCAGATTTATTCAGTGCAAATTTAAAAGATGAGATATAAATAAAAAATAATTTAATGCTTGTTATTAGCTAAAGTCTGAACAGCCAAGCCACTTATTTGGGTTGTAAGTCAAAATATATGGAAGGCACAAGATTGTCTAACCATACACCACTACACGTTAACTAAGTAATGCTGTCTAGTAAAAGATTGAGCATTTAATACCAATATCCAACATTTTCTGTGAAGTTAAACCAGGTTTTTACACATGAACTCTTGGAGAACTATTTAGAGCTGACTTATGTTAGCTTTGCTGGCAGCACCGTAGCAACCTTATTTGAGCTTGGTTACTAAGCAGGGCAGCCCTGGTTTGCACTTGGAGATGGGAGACCACCAGGAAATAGAGTCCCCCATTGGGGGGAGATGGGTGGGGGACAAATTTAATAAATAAATAAAATAAATAAATACCAGGGATGACAGACTAGACTGGGAAGTCAGAAAAGCTTCCCAGAAGATAGTGGTGTCAAACCACTTTTATAACCCTCTCAAGAATACCTCATGGATGCTGTCACCAAGCTTGAACCTGAGTTGAGAATATCTTTATCATTTACAGATCTAACTTAGCTTCTTACTTAAAAGCATGTATTTCTTTGACTATGAAGGTAACTTGGAATGGATGAAGGAAAGTAGTTACAGTGATGTCAATCAGTGCTGAATGGGACATATGTGCTGTGACATGTCTATTGCGTTTATGACCAGTTGTAATTAGTTTTCATCTAAACAAATTGACAATTAATAGAGCTCTAATTTTGGGGGGGCAGGGGGGGAGAAATGATTTAAGTTAAATAGTTTTTTAATTCTAGCTGATGAGCCGGATTCCCAGTCATGGCGCAGTCCATTGAAAACACTTTCACAGTTCTTTAGAGGTGACCTACAGGGTGACTCTAATGAGACAGGTTTGAACTCTCACTAATTATCTGTACTTTAAATAAATCTTCTAAACTCTAACTGTAGCTTTAATAAACGGAAGAGAAGTTTATAAGAAATAGACTTCTCTACACAGCTACTTCTGCTAAACTTTGCATTGAAATACCTTTTTACTAAAACTTTCCTTGCTTTATGTGCTGAATTAGGTATAATAATCAAAACTTTGCTTGCTATTGATCCTGTGAAATGATTCTCTATATAAATCCGTGCTTTGTGGTTTCTGGGATAGACTTTAACTTTTTCCATATCTTTAGCTACAGGTCATATAACACTTATTGGCTATGCAAATTTATTATTTGCTAAACTTCTTAATGGTATACTGTGATATATCTAAAATTATTAACAGTTCTACATTAACAAACCACAGTATCATGCTGGTTTTATAGTATTGTACATTTCTACTGATTGGGACAACATCTAATCTTTCTGTTTAAGATGGGAAGCTTAGATTTAAGTATGTCCCATTACTGACCTAGCTAGTTGCCTATATTTGGAAAAACACATTATTCCAATCTGTCCTTGATAGAAGATTCTTAGCTTACAGTTATGGATCAGCTGAGGAACTGCTAGCGAATCATCATTTCTCTAATTGGTGAAGTCACAGACTGATAGAAATAAATTCACATAGTTGAACGTGTCCTAAGTAGATGTCTGCACTGATTTCTTGAAAAGCTTCAATCTGTTTTTTGTAAATTGATAACATTGCTTAAAAAAAAATTAGCTCTGAAGCCTTGGGAAGGCAACTGAATGAGTGAAATGTGGCCTCTTTCCTCTTTAGGCTTGGCAGAACCTGTGAATATAACTGACAATGGTGATGGAACTCACACAGTAGCATACACCCCTACGCAAGAAGGCCCCTACGCAATTGCAGTTAAATATGCGGATGAAGAAATTCCTAGAAGGTAAGAGTGGGTGAAAAACAGTAAAACTATTCCATAGGACCTAAAAGGTGCATTTGACTGGCCTCCGGTATCGCAGCAGGTTGCATCTTTGGCACATGTTTTAGCTTTGGTGCTTGATTTTAACAAGGAGTTTGGAAGAAATGGTTTCTGTTGCAAAGGTTCAGCTTTTCTTCATGGTTGCAAGAGAGAAGGAAGCAGTGGCAAAGCGATGTGCGTTTCTTTGGGCCAGAGAACCAGTAAACTGTCTGCGACTTTTCTGATGTTTGCCCCTGAAATACAGAAAACTGCTCACTTGGATCGAGCTAATCCTTTCTCCAAACCTGCGATCAGTTTGCTTTTACTTCTGTTTTATGGAGTTTTTAGTATTATAAACACTAGAAGGTTGAGTGGCTCATTGTTAGGAAGCCAGTGTTTCTGTTTTGGATAATAAGTGGGCAGCTTTAACTTGAGTTAAACGAGTTCTTTTCATTTGCTGTTAATAAACAAACAACTAATAACTTCTTTCTCTCATCTTAGCCCATTCAAACTGAAAGTGCTTCCAACGTATGATGCCAGTAAAGTGACAGCTAGTGGGCCTGGCCTTGTCTCCCATGGGATTCCAGCCAGCATACCTGCGGAATTTGTTGTGGATGCTAAAGATGCAGGCCAAGGACCTCTCTCAGTACACATAGCAGTAAGACACCACTACCTCTTCTCTTCTCTTCTCTTCTCTTCTCTTCT